CGAGGCTATTTAAGAACATGATTCCATTTCTTTGCTGATAATTTAAGAACATGACTTGAGTTCTTCGGTTCATGTTTTGCTTTTGCAGCATCTTGCAGTGTTGAACAAAACTCCCACTGGTACATTCACAATAAATTAACTAGAAATAAACGACTCATGCTAAGGTCATTAATTATAGCCAACTGATATTCATTTAAAGAACAATGCCAATTCACAAATTATTTAAAGTGAAACTTCAAGATGTGAGCACAATGCAATTCAGGGTAATTAAAGGTTATGGTGAAGTGGGTCTCTTGAGACTAGACATTTAGCTGCCTTTCTTAATGGGATTTAAAAAACAGATTAAAGAGAGTTATCTGCATGTGATTAAGTTATAGTGGTCGTCATTTCTTACTGGTGGAAGTGACCCATTGATCAATTGGTTGATAAAAATCAGTCCTGATATGATCTGGTTTGGTGAAAATTGATGCTTCTTTATAAGTATTTAAATTGGATTAACCTTCTTTTTTTTTTTATATATATTGGCCACCGCAAAATCCACAGAATATCCTATTTGTATGCTAAACATGAAAAACAATGTCGATTTATAACAGCCTTAGTATCACAGTCTGAGAAGTTTTGATAAAAAGCAATTGAAATTAAGATGAAAGAAATACTAGTCAAAAATTAATAATAATATAGATTTATGTCTGTGATAATTTGACATCACAATAAAAATAAAAAATATAAAAAAAACTGTTATGAGCAGCTTATGAAAATCAGACACATTCATATATGGGCTGTCCAATAAATGAAGCCATGTTTTCTGTTTTTTGCTTTATAGTCTGTATTTATTATCAGCTGTGACAATCACTTTGCAAAGTTGGGGCAGGAAGATAATGTTTTAATTCAGTATAAGAGATTAACAGCCTTTGAGTTCTAACAAAAGCATACGGGGGTGGGGAGAGGAAGAAGATTAAAAAAAAGGAGTTATGAAAAGTTAACTTTCAATGATTGCTGTAATAAGTTCTTGCTTTTAATTTGGAAATTTGCAAAGAAAACAGAGAATTCTTTAAAATCTTTTATGTTTTTTCATTTTCTTTTCTGAATGGGTCAACAGGGACACTGTTTTAAGATCTAGCACTGCACATCACACAATAAATCTGTTTTATTAAATAGCATGACCAAAACTTTATTACTAACTATTTTTGTGTTATAATTAGTCAAAAGTCAATAAGTTGATCCTCATTATTTACATTTTTTGGACTATTATCCTCATCTCTGTTGCTATTTTTATCACAATGCTTCGGCCGATGTATGATCCGGCTTTCTTCAGGTGGTTGAAATGTTGAACTGAACCCTTTATTTCGCTTGCTGGGGTAGACTGTTCTAGTTCCACGTGCCATGTCTAATAGATGTCAGTTATCAGTTATCTCCTGTTAATTCTCTTTTCCAAGTTCTCCACTGCTTTAACCAGGTATTGAACTCAGAAATCTTTGGGTCCTGTCACTGGATCTAACCAACACCTTTATCCACTGTGTGCCATTTGTCCTTAAGGAGCGTACATCGGCTGAAACGTTGAGATAAAAATGGCAACAAAGATGAGGACAATAGTCCGAATAATGTAAATAGTGTACATAATACCTCATCTCAGAAATATAGACAGATACTGAAGTTGATCCTTGTTAGACCATAACTGAGAGAAAAATAGCCAAGTAAGGAATTATTTATGTAATTATGATATCTTATGTAGGATTTCTAAAACAAAGGATTGCATATACATCAATAGAAAATACAATTGCAACAACTTGAAAAATGATCCTGATTTTGATCTGGTTACAATATATGCATGTTGGGGCAGATATGTAGCAGAAAAACACAATTTACACATAAAGATAACAAAACTAAATTTATACAAATATTAGAAAGTATACATCTTTAACTCTACACCTATTTTCATACATATTCCATACTCTAAACAAATTTTAAAACAAACACAAATATACCAGAGTGCTGGTTATTATCAACGCAACTATTATTGTGATTATTTTAATTACTTTGTTCAGACATTTTTATAGGTTTATGATTTTAAAAAATCTTTTCATATTTATTTCTTTATAAAACAGTAAATGTTTGATGATAGTTGGTTCACATAATTTTATGTTGTAAATATAAAATTACAAGCAATCTTGTAAATACATAATGTCAATTCTCGAGAATAAAGAAAATAAATAAGTTCATTTTCATGTTTGGGTTTCATTAAAATTCTAAACATCACTTTTTAAAACAAAAAAAACATTGCTGAAGGAGTCAAAAGTGTATACAGTAATAGTGGTGTCAAGGGGGGAAAAACATTCTTTTGACACACTATTTTTTTGAAGGCATGAAAGTTAAATCTTGCCAAAAAAATATGTATGTATTGATATATAATCCTCTACATGTTGGATTTCTTTTGAAAGTGTTCAATATATTTACTTTATCCTCATCAGCAAGAAGTAGCAACTTCTCCCACTACAAACCAGTGACAAACAGTAATTGCTTTTTGTTACATTCTGTGTTAAGGGAATAAATACTTAATACCAGGTGGATAACAGAAGAAAGGTTTATTGTACACAACCAGTACAATGTGAAATACGGTACAGTTATACAAACAGGTCAATCTCGTAGTGAGTGCCACTAATTGCAAGGTCGGATATGCTTGCGTCTTCTTGCTCTCACTCTTCCTAAAGTCTCTCATGGACAGTTGACTTTATAGGTACTTACTATCTATAGTGTAATTATTCATGGGGGTGACTGGTTATATTCCATTATATCACTTTTATTACAATAGGAGGTAACAAAGAAAAGAATACTGAGCGGTTACATGACCTGCCCTTCTTTACGGCAACAATGTTGGACGATTTCCTCAAAGATGAAGAAGTGACTATACAGAAGGATGCTTAGGATATCATGGACAAAGTGTGTGAGCAATGATGAGGTCTTAGAGAGGATGCAAACAAGGAGAAGGCTTATACTTCACATCATGAAGAGGTAGTCAAAGTTTCTGGGACACATAATAAGGAAGGAGGACCTGGAGAATTTGATACTGACAGGTCAAATAGAGGGAAAGAAAGACAAGAGAAAACAATGTGTGACATACCTGGTGGGCTTAAGCAAGAGGATGACAGAATGTGGTCTACGGGAGGAAGCAGAGGGAAGGAACTTGTTGAGGACATGGCATATAAAAAGAAAGAAAGAAGCCTGTCCACTAAACCTTATGCAAAAAATTAAGAAACAAACTCCTGTCAGTATTTGTAAAAGTCATATGTCCTGAAAAACTGTTTTATAAATTTTAACTCACAATAATTCCTGTAATTATTTTGCCATTACTTTTAACATTTTCTCCTTTTAAATTCTTTCACCTTAAGCAAGGCAATAAAGCCACTGAGATGCAAGAGGTTACTGAGAATGAGTCTGAGAAAAAAACATCATTAAGGAGAGAGGATAATAAAAGGACAGGATTCAAAGAGACAGAAGGTAATGATTAACACTGCATTTAATGTTTTGAAGGTCAAAGTGGATTGGAAAGCAAGAAGCCAGAAAAGAGTTCCACAAGTAAGAATTATGGGAGAAGAACCTATGGTTATGTTGTGGTAGGATCCACCTAATTTGCATAGTGGAATACCGACCATATAAATATGGTTGGTACCGGGAAGAGAGGGAGGAATCAAGAGATTCAACCAGAGACTCTGCCCGACTGTGACTCAGTCAACACATTCTCCAGGAACGGTCTTACCAGGAATATACAAAAGACTATATATAAATATTGTGTACCCTTTCTTGTTTCAATACATTTTGTTCTAAGTACATTTTGTGTTGCATTATTATGCCATGCATTAGTCAAGTTTCAACAGGTTACATGCTGTAATTTCAACAGGAACATGATAAGACCTAACTGCCAATCTAGTATGGCACTTGTAAAGTGGAAGTAACAAAGAAAAAGTGCATGAAAACCATTAACAAAAAAATATTTATAAAAAAATGCACAGGAAAGGTTTGTTACAGCAGTGTGAAAGCGACCAAAGCTGAGATGCCAGGTTAGAACCAATAACATTGCAAATTCTGCTTTGGATTTTTTTCTAGAATCTCTAGATACATAGCAGAAGCATCAGATCAGATGTGACAGCGCTATTCAATGCATAAATGTATAGTGAACTTATAAATTTTCAAGATAGATTCCATGGAAAAAATAGTCTAGTATGACACAGTAAACCAAATTTCCTCGCAATTATTTCAATATAATCATTCCACTTTATGTCAGTGGAAAACATTAATCTGAAGGAGGTTCAATAAATTGCTTTCCTGAAGGTTAGCATCAAGGATAGTTTGAGTAAAAGACTCATGTCGTCATGGTCTATAATACAAAATCAATTATTACATATTTCAATAACTTTGAGAAAAGTAATCATCAACATTCAAAGGTTTCCTACAAGTATTATTATAAAGATTTAAGTACAGATACAGCATTGATTTTCCTTGGTTCCAGAGCCATGTCAAATTATCCATTTTGCTAGACTCATGTAAACCTTATAATAACAATTCAGTAATACACCTTTGGCCCCCACTAATTCTGCATCTCTCGTATCTCTATAGAATTATCAACTATTCAGAACTAATATTCAACTATTATTAAATAAAATACCACTTGGTGAATTAGTCTGGCAATTGCATGAAATTCAAATACTTGCTAGTAATTTTGTATAGATTAAAGGAAGTGCTGGATTATCAGGTGTTGGAAAATCATTGGCATGACTATAATTGTGTTTCAACCAAAAATACTCAATTGACTGATCTGTTTTCTATGGCTTATCAATCTTTTTAATTAGGAGATAATGATTTACTGCTACAAGTCCTACTAATTAACCCATAGCTGGGGAGAAGAAGAGTTGGATTAAAACATTTTACAAGGGAATTTGCATGTAACTTGGCTCCCTTATTTCCAATTCTGAACCGTTACCTGTTATACCACTCGCACATTCAAGCTTACAGTACATGGTATTCCCAAGCAGTCACACAGCTAGGTACTAACCAGGCTGAACATTGCTTAACTTCAGTGATTGTATGAGATCCGGTGTTTCAACCTGATATGGCCATAAAATACTTGCTCAATCTTACTTACTAATTTCTTTATAAAAATGAAATAAATGAACCAAACACGCCATTTTAATATATCAAGTCAAGATATAAATAAATTACCATATTTTTCCAGGTATCTTTGCTTTTGAAATCATTTGTTTGAACTCAGCTTTTAAGGAAAGTATGTACAAACTTTCCTTAAAAGCTTCAGTTCAGTTATGTGCCATGTGATTATGTATCTTTCAATACATGACTGATGAGGCAGATTTTTTCCTGCAGTAGGTTGCCATTTCTTTCTGCGGTAGACCAGTTGCTATCCAAGGCTATAGAACCTGATCTGTCCTGCTATTTAACCATTGCTGCAGGGGAGAAGACAAGGAGTCATACCTTTCCCAAGGGTATTAGCATATAAGTGGATGGAATGGATTCAACTGGAATATGAACTCGGCTCTCCAATTCCTCAATCTGAGCAGCTATCCTTTACCCCACCATGTCTCCTCTCCTTAAAAGCTTACAGTACGGTAATTTTAATCATAATCTGTAAACATTTTTTCAATGAATATCACTGCATACCCAGCTTGCATATGGTGCCAAACATGATTAGATTCAGCTCATATCTCAAAGTTTAGTTCAGCTGTAGCGTCTTGATATTATGCAGTCGACATTATTATTTCAAGATGTCTTAAGCCACATGACCTTTTGGATTTCTTCGTGCTTCTAAGAGTTGTCTTTGATGCACATAACATTTTCTTTATATTTTTGTTTATGTTCTGACATTGAAGACTTATGTTAATGTTAAAAACAGCTGCCCATTCCCTTGCAAGATTGTAAACCCAAAATATAGACTCACCTGCCACCTAGCAGAACAGAGTGCCATCAGACAACACATCAATAAGCACCATAAGGATCATAGTAACATCAGACAGCTACTTACAAACAATATCAAAATACTAGCAAAATCAAATAGTAAAAACAGATTCATTATCCTTACAGAGTTGTAGCAGAGACAATTTTTTTTTTTTTTGGCAGGGGAGGCAAAAAAAAAGTAGACTTTATCCTTAAGTTTTCAAAGGCTGTAAACATGATTAGCAGCAGTAACATTTAAAATTTCCAGAATTGGCAAAATCATCTTTTCTGGGATGAGGCATTATGTACACTATTTACATTATTTGAACTATTGTCCTCATCTTTCTTTCTTTATGTATTACAACATTTTGGTCGTTGTACGCTCTGGCCTTCTTCAGTTGGTTGGAATGTCAAACTGAACCCTTTATTTTGCTCACTGGGGTAGACTGTTCTAGTTCCACATGTCATGTCTAATTGATATCAGTTGTCAGTTATCTCCTGTTAATTCCCCTCTCCAAGTTCTCCACCACCTTAACCAGGTATTGAACTCACGCTCTTTGGGTCCTGTCACTGAATCTAACCAATGCCTTTATCCACTGTGCCATGTGCTCTTGAGGAGAATCCCAGTGAGCGAAATAAAGGGTTCAGTTCAACATTCCAATCACCTGAAGAAGGCCGGAGTGTACAATGGCCGAAATAATAAATATGGCGACAAAGATGAGAACAATAGTTCGAATAATGTAGATTGTGAAAATATTTTCAAATGGTGCCGATTCTGTAAATGGGTAACCATAGATTTAATCGTCTACTCAAATTATTGATACATGGACAGCCATTCCAAAAACTGCAATGTGTCTTGTCCCATTGTTTTTTTTTTCAGATTAAAGACCGTGTATCAGTAGCCTTATTTCTGCTTCATGATACCAACTATCTTTTATAGACTTTAGAACAGATTTAATTTATAACACTTGTTACATGTTTATGGATGGAATATAGCTAGCATCATAATCTGTATATGATTTTTATGCCAACAGAAATATAAATTATATTCGACAAATCCAAAACTGACATGTTCAGAAATTTTCAAGAAGATAAATAACACATTCAGTTTTTAAATTTTAATTTTTACATTTTTGCATTCCTTTTTGACACTGAAAAGCTTTGAAATGAAATAAAAGATTTCAATAAAGATGCCTGTTCATTTGAATTTTTCATTTTCTGTTTACAAAGCATAAATTTATTTTCTAATTTCTTAAATTTGGTCAAAGACATCATAGTACCAGGTTCATTGGAAATCTATCTTCGTAATATCTTTATTTAAACCAATCACATACTTTTTGGACTTTAAAATTGTAATGTTTGATCTGATAGAGAAAGATAATATGAAAAATAAAATTTCTATTATTCCTACCACTGGATGTGAGTGTAGTATAGTTGTTACTAACACAGAGAATGGGACTGACATGCTGAGTTCAAATTCTAGTAAAGGCTATTGCACTCACTTTCACACAAATACCCTTGGAAAAGTATAAAGCCTGTAGTAGATAGTTGCAAAGCCACAGTCCCAAAGTTGTTTCTGTACTTGTCTGTGTGGAACTCTTCTTGTTCAGGTTTTTGAACATGAAGGCAAATTAGCGATAGTTTTAAAAGAACCAGAACCATGCATGCACTTAAATTGCAAATGGCTGTTCCAGACAAACAGGCAAGACATCATGGCCTCTTAGCTTTGGGTAAGTTAACATTTCTTAGTCCCAATTCACCACAAAGCCATCTCTTCTTCCTTCAAGAGGCAGGACAGGGCTGGACAGACTGACCTCTCCAGCTTTGGGGTGTCAACTAGTCTGAAAGAAGGACAACTGAATTCAAAACTGTTTAGGAATAATTGTCTCCTTGTAAGAACATATTTGTTATAAAAACCATGGCAGCATTGCAGATGTAGTGGCCCTATACTTCATAGGAGTGACTATAGTCTCTTCAGGATGTTGGTGATCACAGCTCTTCACGATTTCCTGTCCTTTGTAGCATTTAATAAATTTTATCTTTTTGTTATTTCTCCTAAACCATTCATTTACTCAAGCTCCCTTGGTAGGTTATGCATTGTTTTTTTCTGTCCCTCTTGCCTTCAATCTCAATATCAGATTTTTCAAGCCCTCTTTTCTCATTATGTGCTCTAGAAAGTTTAACTCTCTTTCTGATGTTAACTATAAATGTCCTATTTGCTTCCATTTCCTCTAGAACTTTGTTGTTGCTCACATATTCAGTACACTTCTCTTTATTTCTAATGAAATTTTCTAGTTTCTTAATACTTTGCTTTGTTTTCAAAGGCATCTTTCAGTATCCAAATGTGCCTTTGGATTTTAGTTTTGCATTTTCCTGATGTACTGGTGCAATAACAAAATCAAATATGGTCATCAAGAGAGGTTGTGGAATGGAGTGTTGAGTTATGTTAGATTTAGTTTTAGGGAAAAAAATGTCATGTTTTGGAGATTGAAGCTGGTGGACATTTACCAGGCTCCCCTGAAGCAAAAAGGACCAGAGTTCAAATTGCATTAAGCTTATCTTTTATTTTGAGCATTTGTACAAAAGTGAAAGTGAAAGTAATGTACCTGCTGCATTGATTTATCTGAGTTGCTAACCATTACACTACAAACACATTATTAACAGAAAATAACATTAGATAAATTATGTATCTAAGCAGAAATACATTCAGAAACATTCATGCTACAAGTGCCTTTTAATAATAGTACAAAACCTGTGGCTCCTTGCCCACCCACTCAATACTCCTGAAATAATCATGACAAAATTATAATATCCTTAAATGATGTGAGGCAACAAAGCATTCCATCTCAGTTCAGTCCCCCCCCGACACACACACCCAATATAATTCACTGGACACTAGCATTTTGATAAAGACAGTTTAATACTGAGAGTATTGTTTGAATTCTGTTTGTTTCTCAGTCAAAGATGAGAAACACTTTGGAAGAGAGGAAAGGGATGCGGAAATACTGAGTGTTCAGAGCTAGGGTGGTAGGAGGAGAGACAAAAACAGAAAGGGTTTGGGCTGAGGTGGAAAAAGAGAGAGAACAATAATTCTAATAGAAGGGCCATTGGGTGACACAGTGAGAGAGAGAGAATTTAAGAAATGCATGAAGAGAGAGAGAAGATGAGAAAAAAATCAAGAAAGAGTAAGACAGAGAGAAAATCAGAAATGGAAAGATAGAAAATAAGAAATGATTAGAGAAAAAGAGAAGGTAAAAAAGGATTTGTGAAAGAGAGGAATAAAGAAATTATTGGAGAGAAAGAGAAGGTAAGAAATTACTGAGGAGAGAGAGAGAGATGCTAAGAAATGATTGAAGAGAGGGAAATATGCTTAGAAATGATTGGAAAAAGATAAGGTAAAAAATTATTTGAGTGAGAGAGGTTAAAAAATAATTGGAGAATGAGAGAGACAGAAATGATGAAAAATGAATGAAGAGAGAAAGGCTAAGAAATGAATGGAGAGAGAGAGAAAGAATTAGAAATGAATGGAGAGGAAGCAAAGATAAGAAATGAATGGAGAGAGGAATCAAAGATAACAAATAAATGGAGAGAGAAAGAGGAAAGACATGAATAGAGAGAGTGTGTGTGTGTGTGTGAGAGAGAAGATAAGAAATCTATAAAGAGAGAGAAGATAAGAAATAGAGGAAGAGGAAGAGAAAAGGTGGAAAAAGAAAAGAAAAATGGGCAGGGTGGGAAAGTGAAGTTGACAGAAAAAGCCAAGAAATAGAAGAGGAAACTGACAAGTTGAATTATGTGTAAAGAGAGAAAGAAAGAATGAATGAATGAAGACAGAGGGGGTAGGAAATAAAAAAAAAAGAAAAAGATAAATTAAAGAAAAAAGTATCAGGAAAGATAAAAAAAAAAGAGAAGAAAAATGTACCCATAATCTCGATGAAAAGAGAGAAGGAAAAAAAATCAATGTCTGAAGAAATCTTCTGAATAAAAATTACCAAGCGCCAAAGAGAAACGAATGATTAAAGAAGAAAATTAGATATATGAATAATTAAGAGGAAAATGGAAGGAAAAAAAAGGTCAAGAGAAGAAAGAAATTAAAAAAGAAACAGAAGAAAATAACAATCAATTTAAGGCGAGAAAACAAAGAAAGAAAGAAAAGAAAGAAAAAAAGGAAGGAA